GGTGGGACCATAGGAGAAGGGTATTATTAAGGGAGAAATGGGGGTAAATGGAGGCACCTTAGGTGGGAAAAGCATGATGGAGGGGTGAGACAATGCTAGAGATAAATAATGCCTAGCTAGTTTTGAAAAACAGAGGGAATGATATTACTCCTACAACCTACTGACAAATTATACATAGAAGATCAAAAAACATATGTCTAGGTAAGGTTTATCTGAGAACAATTGGTCTTTGCCCAAGATTTATCTACATGGCACATAGTAATTAAAAGTACCAGACTGGTGGAACTAAACTTCTTGGATGTCTAACAAACATACTTTGGGGCCATAATTTGGTCAGAGGGACATAAAGGACAGTTTTTGCTCCTTTGCCCTCCTAGGTTGACTAGTTCCAGGGGACTATGAGCATTTCTCAAAATGTCCTGTAATTGTGGTGGGTCACCTGTCCTCTTGATCAAGGTGATTGAGGAGACCCCACGAAATGGACTTGGACCAGTGTCCAGTCTACAAAGAGGAGGGTCAACACAGATCAAACATTTCCTCCATGCTTCCAAGTGAAGCCAGCCATAGTTGAGTAGGACCTTTGACTTATCTTCGCATACGTGGAACTGGTAAAAGAAAGGAGCCAGAGGCTCCTCCCAAGCCCATGTGACCCCTGAGAAACAGATCCTCAAACGGCCTTAGGAGTAAAAATAAATTGGTTTATCTGGGCCAACTGTTTGGCTTAAACACCCGAAAGGAAAGTATAACCAAAGATTAAAGGGGCCAATATAATTTCATGCGTCCATATGTATAGCTAAAGGCTACATAACAGCTAAAGGCTACATAACAAACAACAATGCCAGATAGGAGATACCTTCTTTTGAGTTGTTGGCCAGGGTGGCCCAAGGGACTCCAAGATAGCAAGCCAGCATAGAACTGGGAAAATGAACAGAAGACCCCAATCTTAGCTAAAGGAATATTGACAAATGATTGCTGTTAGATGAGGAACAGCTGACCTTCCTAAAAGAAAGACCTCTAGATAGGGTGACTAGATTCACCAGATGGACAAGTAGTGGGGAAAGGCTTGGGTGCCGAAAGCACAGTGGACAGTTAACAGGGATAACAGAGTATAAGGGCTCTAGTCGGGGGAGGGAGGCTATAGGAGGGTGCTACCTGGGAAGTGGGTGGATAGTTGCATAAGATGATTTGGGATGTTCTGTGTGAAATACACACACACACACACACAAAATCAACAAATTTTTAAAAATGAGTTATATTTGAGGAGGAAGCATAAATATTTAAGTCATGTTAACTAGTAGAGATGATAAACATTACACTGAAATCTACCTGATGTATGACATACAGTCACCAAGGATAAGTGCAACTGATTATGACTACTAATAATCAGATATAAACAGATTAGAGATGCATGCGCCAACAACTCAGTGTTAGTAGCAAAAACAATGAGTCTTTCTGTAAGAAATAGTACATTTTAAAATGAAATGAAGATGTTTTTTTAAAGGCTAAAAACTCATCTAATTTTATGTCTTACTGGGCTTATGCTGTCCAATATTGTATAACTGTATTAATTCAACTCTGAACCTAAAAATTTACAGCCACTTTTGAAAGAGATGTATCCTTGCTCTAGAGTGTGTTACTGAATATGTTAAAGCGGTAATGAAATGCTTCTTCTAATCATGTCGCTATTAAATTTTTAAA